TCAGGGGAGGGAAGAGGAGTGCCACGCTGCATCCCAAATGTGCATGGAGGCCAATGCCTCTGCTCAGAGCTCCATCCACCTGCACAGCACCCACCTCCTCAGCTCTCTGAGCACATCTCACCCCCTATACCACATCTACACTGCCAAGAAGATACAATCTCCCAGGTAGCCAAAGAGTTTTGCGTATGGATTGAATCCATAACCATCCTTACTCCCATGACTGTGATGAATGAAGACATCCTGTACCAGAATGAAGGCTGCTGGGCCCAGCTGAGGTTGTGGACACAACATCAGCCCCACCATTATGCTCTCGTGGATACAAATGAAGGCTCGGGCTCTTCACCTTATTCCAGCAAAGGTCTCCAAGTGCTGTGAACAGAGCAAGCGAAAGCAACGGGAGCTGCACAGCCCAGCACACTTGAATGAAAAACGCCTCTCTGGCTGTTCTAGCATTTCTTAGAAGAAAAGAGCCCTTCTCAGAAAGGAAAGCATCATTATCATGCTTACACAGCGCAGGTAGACATCCTCATTCAGGGCGTGACCTTGCAAGATGCCAGCAGTCCTGGCCTTGCTCCAGACCTGTTGGTCTTCACACACCAAGTGCAAAACTCGCTCTGGCTCCTGTATCTGCTGTTTCTCACTCGGCTTCATGCAGGATCAAGCCCTTGAAAAAACGTCTGAAAAGCAGCTGGACCACTGTAAGAGTGCCTGTGTGAGGAAGAGTGAGCAGGTTCAGACCAGGGGTCAGTATAAGCTACTATTCTGTCCCCAAAAGTGGCTGGGTTTGGAAAGTATATAAAACCAGGAAAAGCCTAAGTGGGACGTCTCCAGAATAATCTCCCATCCTCCCGTGAGCTGCAGCTCAGGGGCTTCATGAGCAAGAGGTGCTGCCTTTGTGCTTGGCTGCTGCTGGCAGAAATTTCTTTCATTAATTCATCCAGCTGCTGCTTTTTTACTGTTTTATAAATGTAAAACCTAACACCAGACTCTCAAAAACAGATAGGACAGAAGAAGCTTGAAACATTCCCATAAAAACCCTTTGAAATGCCTTGCTCGTTGAAGTGTCAACACATCACACGCATAAAAGAAACAGAGAAGGAGCTACTGAAGGTAACTTGGAGAGAGCAGAGCCATTAAAACCCACTCCTTGGTGCACAACCTGACAAAACCTTCTCAACACACGAGCCCCTCACCCCTGGTTGGAAGCATAATTAATTTGGGGGAAGCATTAACTAATTTTTAAGCAGTAGCACAGCAAGAAGGCCCCTGTCGTGGGCACAGGCTGAGAACCATGCCAGCGAGCACAGCCGGGTACCAGCAGTGCTGCTCCGCTGGTGCACAAGGACCACTAGCAGCGATGCTGTGGGAACAATGTGCAGACCACGCCACTTAAATTCACACTTCAGCACCAGAAATAGGCTGCAGCCACATCTCTGTATGCTTTTTTTTAACTCCCAAGCCACACACTGCACTGCCAGATCACTGCATGGCAGGAGGAGTATTTTTCAGTTTGGGGTTTGGTATTTTTGCCACATAAGAGGGGCACATATTTTGAAAAACAAAACAAAAACTTTGTGGCACACTTGACTGTTACAAAATATTTCCAATGTGTGAGAAGGTGGGCTAAGCAACATTTCTGAACCAGATGTTCAAATTTGAGAGACTATTACTACAAGCTGGCCAGCAGCCCTCAGTGCAAGCCAAGGTGCTCAGCAGTCCCAGTCCTGTACACATGCTATTACATACCTGCAACTTACAGTAGGCTCAAAAAAAAAAAAAAAAAAGTCAGGATTTTTTCTTTTTTCATTTTTAAATGAACTACGCAAACTTAAGGACATTAAACCTGCTTTTTTTTTTTTTACTATTATTTTCTAAGGCCCTATTATTTTTAGGCACTTCAAGCAAAATATTTTGCTGCACAGCTCGTGGTCTCGATTACCTGAGAGAAGAGCTGAAAAGGCCGACAGGAGACCAGGTTTTAAACCGTTATCCAGCATTTGGACACTTCAGAAACAGTGCCAAATAATTTAGCACTTGACATTTATTACTGTAAAGCTGCTGGTGGTATAATTTGCAAAATCTATTTCAAAATCTATTTTTACTAGAAATATTTTCACAATTTAATAAAATTAAAATGCTAACTGGGCACAAGTTTAAATACTGCTTTCACATCACTACCTCCAAAATTTTACTGTGCTGCAGTTGTGGAGCAGAACCAGAAAATGAAAAGCAAAAGTGATCTCAGCCTGCTTTCATCTCTGAGATGCAAAAGAGAGTTTTCTAGGACAGATGTGTTGCTTCATTTGGTTTTATGAACCTTTGTCTCTGCCAGCAACGTAAGGAAGGAGTGACCCATTCCACCTTAGTGTTTTTTTCCCAAAGAAATTTGGATCCCTTTTTTTAAAGGTTCAGTGATGCCCAACCACTACAGCTCCGCACTGCCTCCCACTTCCCGCAGCCCCCCAGAGAGGCTCCAAGCACCTGGGCAGGGACCAAAATCAGGCAGCTCAGAGACACCTGAGCGCTGCCCTGCGGCTCCGCGGGGAGGGCTCGGCCCCGGCGGGGTTTCGTGGCTGAGGGGTGTTGAAATGCAGCGGCAGGACCGCTGCCGCAGGGACAATGCCGGCGAAGCCGGCCAGCTCCTCCAAACCCGCGTGGTTGAGAATTTCGCAACGCGGCTGAGTTTTATGAAACTTTTTCTCTCCATAAATTAAACTCAGTTGTTTTCTATTACAAAAGATGTTTCTGTACCTAAGGAGAAGCCCATGCTACACAGACAGTGGAAAAAGCTACGAAGGCAAAGCACGTGTGATTCCTCATCTATCCATCATCCATAAACCTGACCAGTACCCAGAAGCCAAAAAGCCAGGTAAGCTACCACAACCAAGAGCACACTTGGGTACCACACAGAGGATATACTATATACAAATACAATTTATTACCCAGCTCCATGAAGTTTCCCACCTAATGCCCAAAAGAAAATTCCCGCTGGCAAGAAGCATCCAAATGCACGCTTGCCGGCGCACAGTCCTGCTAGTACACAATGTTACCATCAGATAAATGCATTTTCCAAGCCCAGAACTCTCTCCAGCAGTTTCTGAGCAAAACCACATCTGCAGACATTGGTAGTATCTTCTGGGGAACAGATTTATTGCTCCTTGTGGACCTCAAAGTGCTGTTACCTCAAGCAAGAGAGAGCTGAAGGACCCTCCTGCACGTACCCAGCATCACCAAAACCTGCAGTAGCAACTCGGAGCAGACAGGGAAAATGCAGTCACTGTGTCCGACACAGGGGATGACAAATAATCAATTCTTCATGGAGCAAGAGGGGAATTATTTATTTCACAGTTGCTTTGTACCTAAAGAGAAGTCTTGGCACCGAATCTTAACTATGCCTCAAATGCTCCTACGAGACTGTGAAGGCACTTCGGGGGATCATACACTGTTACTATAAATATATTAAGAAAAGAAATGGGGAGCTGGTCCTGCCGAGCTACAGTAGCATGTTGTGCAGTCCATTACAGACTGCTAAGTTCAGGGAAAATCTTGAATTTTCATCAGAGACAACCAAAAGGTCAGCCTTTCTTATGGGATTTCAGCCATCTGAGTGCCCTTTTGAGCTACAATCTTGAAATTAGGAATAATTCATTCATTACAGACTGCTGATTACGGGGGGAGGGGGGAACAGAAATTTGACATTTCTTTCCAGTTCACCAAAAGGTCAGTCTACTGATTTACAAAATTTATATTAATTTTAACTCTGAGGCTGTCACACTGGGCATGAGGCATCCAATTTGGAGAAATTAAGGTCACTTAAGGTCTCTAGTTGCATTTATCATTTTGAATGCAAAAAGTTCTCAAAGGCAAAGGCAATGCTGAGGAAGCCAACAGCCAAAGTCACTCAAATTGGGGATGGCTGCCAATTTTAATACACTAAAATGCCTTTCTGTTTTAAGAGAGCCCAGGCTTTAAGTCTCATCTTGCTGCATGCTGCCAGACATCAACTGCCATTGCTTCATGAAACAGAGATAAACTAAAATTTGGGGTTGAAGCATCTCCCATGGCAGACTCAACAATCCTGCAGTCATACTGCTGCTCATCTGGACTCACACCGGCACCAGGCACTAATGCCACTAGCTTTGCCTGCCACCACCAGCCAGCTCAACTCGTGGAAATCCTCCATTCAGAGCTTAAAAACACGGAGAGATGATGACAAGGAGGAGGAGGAGGCAGCATGGAAGTCATCTTCTTGAGCAGCTGGAGCAGAGGAAGGCATGTTTCAGAACTGACTCAAAGGCCACCGGGAGAAGGGTGGGAGGTGTCTCCCACAAACATGGAAAATACTCAAAGCCGCAAAGCACGAACCAGCCCTCAGAGGCGCTGCTAGAGCTCAAACTGCCACCATGACAGCCCAAACACAAAGCTCAGCCCCCTCGCCTTGCCATACGGGAGCGAGAAGATAAGCAAAGTTCAAGTGATCCCTCCCAAAAAATATCAAACCCAGTGACCAACTTGCTGAGATTTACGAGTCCTGTTATTTGTAAATAAGTCATTTGTGGAGATTTGCAGCACTATAATAGCCCACCTCAGGCAACTGCAGGATCCCTACAAAAAGCTTGAAGCTACTCCTGTCCCTCCCAAGGAAGCTCTGCTTGGGCAGCTCTTCATCAAAAGGTACAGAAAAGCATCCTCACGTTTATAAAGAGCAGCAACAAAGGCAGAGCAATCCCGACACCCGTTTTCCTGCCACAGTCACCAGCCCAGACCATTTCCCACATCAGAAGCCACCCGGGCCAGGGGATGGCTCCCAATTTAGGCATAAAGCTACAGCCAAGGCCAAACCCTCAGCTGGTCTAAACCAGACCCATTCACACCAGCCAGAGCTGCTGCCCTCAATTCTTTTTTAATGGAAACATCGCTCTTTTTTTTTCCTTTTTTTTTTTTAATTTTTTATAAAGACACACTCATAAAAAATTGAATGGAGGTCTGTTCAGGCTTACCAGGCAGAAGGCTGCTCCGGCTGTCGCAGTCCGTCCTTGCAAATAGGACCTGTGTGCACTCCGTGCTCTGCTGCTTTACACTGACTTTTTATACAACACACCTGACATTATTTTCTTCTTCAAGCAGGAAAAATTAAGGAAACCATCTTTACATCATGGTAATTTTATGCTCCAGCTATAACCTCTGCCCATCAAACCTCTGTCCAGTCTGTCCGTGTTTATGCTGTAAGTAGATTTATATTTTCTAACTTCTTAAATATAGAAAGTTGGATTTTACTACTTTCCCTTTAGAAAAAAAGTTCAATGTTTAGTTCTGTATTAAAAATTGGCCTTGGTACAACTAGATTTTAAAATAAATTACTACTTTTTAAACTATCTGAAAATACTAGTTCCTCTTTGTACTTCATTTCTTCGGGGAAAAAAAAATACAGATCCAATCCACAATCAGACATTTGCCTTTTTTTCTAATTTAGTAACTTGTGAATTCATGCATTGACCCAGCCGAACAAAGGGCAAAGACTGTTAAATTCCAGAGCCCAGGAGATATTCAGTTACTCATTCACGGCCTTCTGCAGAGTTTAAAAAAAAAATAAAAATGAGACTTAGTGAGGAGGAGTGGCACATTTGGAAATGATACTTTTAAATTAACAACCGAAAAGGGGAAAAAGGTAAACTGGGAAGAGATTAGCTGCTTGCTGCGCCACGATGGGAAGATGGAGAGTGGGTTGGAACTCGTTAGCCCAATTACACAACAGATTATGTTGGCCAAATTCGAAGGCAATAAAAGCAGCAAGAGAAACCGATGTTAGGTAACAGCAAAGATGGAAGAGGTGGGGGACAGGAGAAAAAGAAAAGGCTTTTTATGATTTTATTTCTGAAGCTTCTTTAAAAGGTTTCCCTTCGGCAGGGAAGCACCGAGCACAGGCAGGAATTTGGTAAACAACCGAAATATGGCTGGGGGTGCCCATCGCCGCAGGGAGCAGAGGCAACTGCAGTGGGCACTGCGGGTCCATGGGGCTGCGGTGACATCGGGGAAGGAATGCTGGCACACCAACCAAGGGAAAAAAATGTTAACTTGAAATTTCCCTGCCTTCCCTTCCTCCTGTCCCTGAAAATCACATTTCATTGAATTCAAAGGCATTCTGAAATTTTACTAGTTTAGGAAAGACTGAATAAGCATGTAATTAAATTAATTACAGAATCACTGCTCTGCATCCTAGTGCAGGAATAGCAGTGAATCAACCAAATGGATTCAAAATCACTTCCTAAATGCTTTCCAGTCAAATAAAACTTCAAGAACAGTTTCAAACCACTTACAGTGCAGTCCAGAAAAATCCAACCTTTCAACCAGTTTCCTTCACCCATATGGGAACGTGATCCTAAAGGGCATGACCCGACGTGGAGCGTTTCCTTTCCTAAATAAACAGCAGCCGCGCAGAGCTGGACACCTCCTCTCCCTGCCTGCATCCCCTGCCCCATTTGCTGCCATTCAGCCGCTATCCAAGCTGGTTCCTATGGACACCCACCACACATTTCTAATTAATCGCCCCTCTGTGCAACGGGGAGATAGGAAAAATCCCTCTGTGAGCTCACAGCTAAAGGGTGCTTTGCAAAGTGCATGCACAAATTGAGGACGGGCACCTGATTCCCACCAGGAAAGGTGCCACCGGCCTCACGGCCGCTGCCTGCACCAGCACCAGCAGGACCAGAGCTGAGACTCAGATGTCTTAAATGCGGGCTGTGCTCACAGTGAGCTGTGCAGGCACAGCTGGAGCAAGGTGTTTGGTCTCGGTCAATGGGACAGAGCATCATTCCCCTGAGCTGGGGGATGTCTAAGATCAGAGGACCTTCTTTCTCCACAACAGGAGAGCAGAAGAGTGCAACCAGAGGTGGATTAGTTACGAACAGCACAAGCTGCATCCCAGCCCTGACAAACACAAGACCACAAGCAGCAACACGACCACTGGCAGCACAGGGGAGCAGGCACAGGCATCCGCTCTTCCAAGAAAACAGGAATAGCCTCGCGCTGCCTCACCCGCGCAGCTGGGGGCAAGGCTGCCTTTCTGTTAATGCTTAATGTGAAGGCAGGTTCACATACCACCACGTCCACCGAGCACGTCTGGACAGCTGCTGGCCACTCTGGATGCGGTGGGACCATCATGGTGCAAACAAGCCCCTTCTGCATAGGGGATGCAGTGGGGCTCACTTGCTGCCTCCTCCCACAGCTTCATGCCCAGCAGAAGTGCCCAGGGAAGAGGACCGTGGATTTTCTGGGGGAAGCAGTCTGATGACCCTGTGTGAGCTCTCTCCTTTGGATGCTCACCCCCATTTCACGCAGGAGAAGCTGGCAGGTCCTGCTCCCGCTGTGCTGTGCTAACACTGATCCTGCCAGCTCAGCCCTACGAGGCTGAAACATGACACGTGCAACATGTCCCCCTCCAGCAGAGCCTTCCAAAGGTCCTCCAGGCACACACGGGCAGAGGGGTGACTGTCACACTGAACCCCAAGCACAGCCACAGCAGCACACACAACTGCTCTGGGCAAACAAAGTGCAATTACTCAGACCAGAAATCAAACCTAAATGCTAACCCAGGTGACTTTGCTCAAGTTAAGTGAAGTAAGCTCTTCCACCAGCAGTGCTGCTTCCAGAAAGATGTCTATCGATGGCCCCAGTGGCTTCAGCTAGCAATAAAGGCAGCAGTTAAAGCCAGCTTTCATCCCCTACCCTATATGAGATGCTGCCTCAAAACCTACTCGAGAGGTGCCAAAGGTGGGAAAAGTCAAACAGGCAACACCTGCAGGGCTGCAGCCCCACTGAACAGGTTCTCAGGCAGCAGGACACCAACACCACCTCTTGCTTGCTCGAAGAGAAACATTTAATAAAAAAATCCAAATAAGAATTCCAGGACCCACATGGTTTTCAATAAGCCGATGGTCTATTTGTCCATAGTAAATCCCACCAACACCCCAGCAGGCATGGACACCACCTGATGTGATCATCCATGATCTACATCTTCAAACAGAGAAAAGCCAGCAAGTTACTGGAGAGCAACCAGCTTTGAAGGCTGCAACTAGAGCTTGCTGACCCACGCAGGGATGAACAGAAACAAAGGTATCAATAGGGGGTTTCTCTAGTCTCCTGGGACTGCAGGAAGGGCCTATCTTGTCCCCCCCAAAACTTACTAGCTGATCAAGTAGCCGCCAGCATGTGCAGCTACACGTGCTGCCTGATCAACAAAATCTGGCCATGATCAGCTCAGAAGCCACCAAGAGCTCAGTCGTCACTGTGTTGGGACAGGCTCCAACACACCACACAGATCTTAGCTCAAACAGAGCTGCAGTGAGCAGCAGGACGTCCAGCAGAGCCCAGGACACATACATAGTTGCTTTTCTCCCAGCTGGCAATGACATGGGGCACCCAGCGGGTACCGAGCATCTCTCGTGCCACCATGGGTAGAGACCATGCTCATGATACAGACTTTAGCCCCCCAAAGGCATTTCTAATTACCACATTAAAAGGTGTGAAATGCTTCCCATACAGGCATGGCCATCTTCAGGGTCTGAAAGCCAAACCCCTCTTTGGCAAAACTAAACCAGCCTCCCAACAGCCCCATGAATTGATGGTCTGGGTCTCTTTGGGGCTTATGCTCCCCTAGCTCGCTCCTCATCTGACCCCTCAACCCCAAATACAATTAGCCACATTTGCCCATGAAAATACCAGCAAAGATCTTCACAACACAGCCAAGAAGGTTTCAGAGTGAATTGGATAAACTGAGCAGTAAGAAATTGCCAAGACCAGATGGGGCTGAACAAAACCTCTTGGGGAAAGTAAAGATGAAATGGCTGAAGCATCCTCTGTGCTGACCATGCTCCGACGGGGGGGCAGGAGGTGCAAACCCCACCCGGGGACCTTCTCACAGCTCTGCAAGTGGAGATGTGGGGGACTGAAGACCACCAGCGAGAAAATGGGCAGAAACCACCAAAATCAAGCTCAAATCAGAGTAGAACTACAAAAAAAAAATCCATGCTTTATGTTAGGAAAGGGTTGAACCTGATCTCAGTTGGCCTTTATGTCTTAGATGTGCAGGGAAAACATCAGCTCAGTGCTCGTTAGCAAAGACGAAAAGAGAAGGTAAGGAATTGTTAAAACAGGCAAAATAAACAGAAAACACAACTGTGCCAGGTACATGTCCCTACCATTTTGAACACAACCTGCAGGTTTGGCCATCCTGTCCCAAAGAAAGACTACCTCTGGGGAAGGCAGAGAGCAAGATGATCAGCAGCAGAACTAAAATGAACAAAACCCTTCCAGCTTAGAGGAGGCAATGGGGGAAAGGAGACGGGACCCCTCAGATGGGTGAAAGATGTTTAAATGCATCCTCCAGTGCTGCAAGTGTGAGCAAAGGATGGCACGGGAGGGTCAGGGTTTGCACCGCTCTTGCGATCCAGCCTGGACACCACCAAGACAGCAAAGATCCGAGCTTGTGTGCATGGCGATGCCCACAGCAGCCTCCTGCCAAGGCGAGGAAGAGCAGAGTCCATGGCAGCACCAGGACCGCAGCACCGGTGCAGACCCCGAAGCGCAGCCATCCCTCCCTTGTGCAGGATGTAGACGTTTCACTTGGAGAGAGGTGCAGTATTTTGTACCACTTGGTCCCCTTACAGCTCGCTGGAGAATGTCCTTTGAGTTAGAGGGAAAGGGAGCAGGGGATGAGTTATGCGTTGTTTGACCTCGGGAATGGAAATCCATCGAGTTTCACTACTTCATCACTCCGGCGCTGCCGGCCGCAGTGCCAAGATTTTTGCCAGGACTGGCGCAGAGGCAGGGGAGGACACAGCGATGGCATTTTGGGCAGAAGCTTTAAGTATTTGTTACTTCAGAAATGGGGTACAGCAGTACAAAATATGTCTTCTTAAATATTCAAGCAGGTTATTTAACTTTTAAAAAAGACAATTTTTTTTACTTAGTAATGCTTTAAACCAATAATATCTATTTTCACATTTTTCAGTTTAGCTCAAAAGAATCCCAGTAACAGGGTGAAATCTTAATGTAAATTTAAGCAGTGCAATGTGTATCAATAAACCATCAGACACAACACTTAAGGTACCGTACACTTAGGGTAGCCATGTGTAGCTCTGACCACCAGTGTTTTATGGGAAAAAACCCCTAAAATGTAAAAGTAGAGTGTGCCCTATTTCAAAACTCAGGAGGCAAATTCAGGTACCCTTTACCTCCATCTCCAGCACTCGGTGATCAGCAGTCCCC